GATAAAAAATATAAGTGGACAAATATAAATAGACTTATATAATTATGAGACGATAAATTTGCGATGCAATTTGCAATGCAACTTGCAATCGCCACAATTTTCTCCAATTAGCGGGAGACGCGCGGTCTATAAACCATTCTTCTCGCTTAACTGTCTTGAAACGCTTTCGAAATAGCTGAAACTGTCCAGCTAGTTTCTCAAACATCTTAATTTTCGCCCGTTTCACAGTAAGAATAGACTTTGGTTTGTTACATGCATTTATGCAATAAAATTCCTGCAGCTTTCAACTGCAAATTTTCGTAGCTAAAACAAAGGGCCGCCTATTACGTGGCAATAAACCGCGGCTGTTTGTCGTTACGTCTAAATGCACGCGAGGGGATCTAAAATTTTAATGAAGACCTCAAAATTTGCGGCGGCGCTCTGCCGACCGGATATAAGATTTAATATTCATGAAATGTATACCACTTCCCGCCCGTTACTTGTGAGGAAATAAATCCCCCCTCTGAAAGCGAATATCTTTCCCTCTCTCTTTTTCTCGCCTCGCGCCTACATACTTTTCTTTCCCTGCGTGTGCTGTCGATAATTTAACGTTGTTTTCTACAAGTAACGACAAATCTTGTTTATCTATTTGCACTCTCTTTTGATCCATAAAAAGCGTTACATTCGCTGCGCTTCCGCATTGAACTTACTCACACATGTCATGTCCAATACATGTCACGTGCACGTCTGCCATATCCAATATTAGCTGCCTGCTGAGTGTCTGAAAGGTACTATCTGTCCGTTTCGACAAACTCTCTACCGTTATATATTTTCGCTCGCTTGCTTGACACGTCGATAAGATTAATTTTGACAATATATTTGTTTCTTATCTGCGCTGGTATTGTCAGCGTATAATATCCCGTTATCTTCCATTTTCATTTATTAATATTGTTCGTAAAAATCCCCGATTAATCCTGAATATCAGTTCTACGTGTAGAATAGAATATCAAGTGAAATTTTTTGAAAGTCGCTTTATTGCTACACGACACATGCGGCCAGCAGGTAAAATGCGGAACACACGTATTGTGATACATATACTTATTTAAACGCCATTGTGAACGTATAAAGAGCCATTAGCGTGGAAAAATCGAACGTTCACCGCAGGCTCGCGCACTCACACATGCGCCCGCGTGCATGATCCCATTTACACCGAGTTCTCATTTTTCAATCATAAAACAAAAGTGACGTTATTCTGGTGTAATTTTGTAAAAAGGAAAAAAAAGGATTATTTTCACAATACAATATGCCATCACCTGTCACTTTGCACACACTCATGCTCGTAATAAAAGCATCTATCGCGCGTTGCGATATTTTATGTTACTGCATTGTGCAATTAATTATATACACGTCTTCTCAAGACGTCCAACATTGATCGTAGATTTCCTGAAGTAGTTTTCCGTTTTATTCTTTTGTTACTTCAACACGTAATCATGCTGACCGTGATTAATTATTTTTCCCATGTCCTTTATACACGCGTACATTTTAGAAAGCTCCTTTCACTATGATTATGTTTTTCCCGACGCCTTTCCGTTGTTCACTCGCAATAAAACTCTACAGTTTTTACTTTAATCAGATTAATCTTAAATAATGGCACAGGCGACGCACATTGGATTAATATCTGTCGCGAAAATAAAAAGAAAGTGATGTAATGTAGAAATAACTATTGTTTGTATTTTATATTATTCTAACTGCTAAAAAATACTGTGTCGTACCTATGCTCTTTCCGGCGATTTTATTTCTATGTTATTTTGTTTTCTGTACAAATCTTTTTTGCGAATTGCCTTCGACGGACTCGTCTAGTTCGATATCGGTTAGTGTGTCGAAAATGAACGAATTAAACTCAAGATTGTTGAATGAGTTAATGGTGACAGGATATCTTATCACGGTTTAGATACGGCCGAGGATACATCCGGCTGTGCAGCTGAGCACACGTGCGAGATGTTGGCGTTTCTGCACGTGTCTACAATCGATCGCGGGTCCCTTGCGTCAAGCGCCTTGAGAAAATCTTTTTGCGCAGGCATTTCCGCCTCGGCACGCCCACCGATTAATTACGTTAGCTAGTTAAGATATTTGCGCAGCAAGAAAGATGTGATCAATTTGCAATTTAAACCATTCCAACAATTTTACATAGCGCGACACATAACGTATACATGAGTTGGCCGATGCACGAGTTTTATGCAAAGATCTCACGGTCGTAATAGAATCGATATGAATTAAAAATGTCTTAATAACAATCATTCGTATCTATACGTCAATATTAATTTATATACAGCCTTGGCCAAAAGTGTTTGCCACCTCCCTCAATTCTTATAGCGAATTCGATCGCTTGCACTAGTGCACACTGAGTGCACACTAAGGCATGTTTATAGTTTTTTGTATTTAATTTTGTCTTAAATACACGTTCAAAGAGTATTTAGCTAAAAAATGATCCGTAGTGATGCCAGATCGAACATTTTACTGGCTACGAAGTATTTCAAGAGATATTTAAGACGATTCTTAAATATAAGAATTGACTGTAAACAAGCCTTAGTGCGCCCTGGTGTGCACGCTGCCGAATTCGCTATTAGCTAACACTTTAATATTTTTTAAAGACAAATAAACTTCAGAAATTCGTAATAGAATTTCCGTATATACAAATTTAAAAATATTCTATATGTCAATGTAAGTTAATATTTCTTTCGATAGAAACTACAAGAAAGAGTATTATATGTACAAAAAAAAGTTAATCATATTTACATAAAAAAAATATTTAACTGATAGGACAATGACTTCGAACCGCTCTATATCCGGATATTTGCACGAAGAAGAAACGCGACTATTTGTGCACGAAACTGTTAAGCGAATCTCACAGGTGAGAAGCTGCCATCATCGGAGGGTAATTAAACGGTCGAATAATCACCGTGTTTGCGTACGGTAATCCATGTGGGATAATGATTTTCGCTAATTAGCCTTGAAATCCCCGATGTAACAGCACCCTCGATATTTTCTACCGCGTATTTACTTAAGCTTTTACTCATGAATTACGTTACGATTATCCGCAATGATTATGCAATATTCTGATAAGCATACAAATCCGCTCTCATCGAGAACCGTACCACGAAGAATCGATATCCGACTTGGTGCTTAAATAGCAATTGGGTATTATTTATGAAATTTTAATACGAAAAATAATACCGACGTATTGTTAAACCTTGTAACGTCTATTAACTTTGCATAAAAGTATGCAAGGCGTCCAATGAAAAGTAAACTAGGAATATTTCCGTAACGATCGGTTTGCGGTATGTTGCAGAAATACGCAGTACGGAAGTTTAAAGGAAAAAGATCCGTACGACTCTTTAAGTTCTGCGGCAAGGCACAAAATGTTGGGAAAATTTCTTATTCCGATTGACGAAACTTGAAGAGACGCGCAGGAGTCACGCACCGAAATGACTTTCGAAGGGCACGGCGAGAGCAGCTTGACATTGTTCGTTTACTACAAAGAGCTCTCGCGCATGTATGACTTATTCAGCGTTCGCGATACAATCGCGCGCAATATCACGAACGCGCGGCTCGTAAATCCGGAGTGCACGGAGTTGAAACGAATCGCGTTCGAAATCGGAAATGCATTTGACCGGCTAGTCACGCGGCCGGGTTATCGCCGAACAAGCGTCACGAAAACACGGGATTTTCCGGTGCAACGGCCAAATAAATATAAATATTTCGCGAATATCCAACGCGTCACTCAAATGGACACTCTGTTTCGGAAACTGGATAATACTACTCTAAAGTGTCGATTGAAAGTACTTCTATTGACGATTTGTAATTTTGCACGTCGTCGACTCTACAAAATTGTAAACACAAATATATATAAATTTCAAAAAATCACAATTCAAGATATTGTAATCAAAGCAGAGGGTTGACGGCGTATTAATTGTGCCACTATCAAATGGAAGTTCATTTTCCACGATTTGCACATTACAGAGAAAACATAAATCAAACTATTAAAAAAAAACTCTAAAAGTGCAGAAACGCAATATCCTTCTGGCGCTTCTCTATATAATCGAACAGCGTTTGACGTCGCACGTGTTTATCTAGTCATTAATTTGCCCGCGATACTAATTTTGACGCGACAGAAACTTTCCCGACCATATAAGCGTGACAGATAATTGAGGTATGCACGAATAAAAATAATTTTACTTATTTTATTCTCACACCTGCATTTGCAATGTATCACGGACGCAGATGCGTGGCCCATTTCCATTCTATCGACTCCATTTGATGTTGCCACATTCTATCACGTTGCACTTCGGTATCGACAGGTCTATGATTTCACGATATTTATCCCGAAGGTAAGTAAACAAGTTTATTTATCGTCGTTTCCTATAGAGTGGTTTTTCTAGGATTCGCGCCACTTTTACATCTACTTCTTCATTGAGCTACATGCAAACGAGGAACTATATTCAAAACGGGAGGAAGCGTAATCAAACGCGCTTTATATCATTAACTTTCTAAGACTCAATTTTTGCTAGTAACAAGCAGTCAGGCTCGCGAAAGTAAATTGCCATTTCAGACTTGAAAGATCGTATATTGATGCAAACGATGCAGATCGAATTGAGGCCAACTATTTCAAAAATGGTGTCAAAATGCAACCGAACAATTTCTCTGTCGGCCGTGGATCGTTCGTTATTAGAATCTATTATTGATTGCTGATATTTATAATTTATATTAAAAGTGTTATAAAAGTATATTACATATTCAAGTTCATACATGTTCAAGAAGTCGCTTCAACTCGAAACTTTCTAAAGGAAGAAATCGTTACAGCAAGAGAACGTCACATGTACGCATGCACGTGCACAGCTTATTATTCAACAGAATAATGGCATTCGTCCTGGCAGGCTGGTTTGTCACGCTACCTCGACATAAGCAATATAACTATCATGTAGGATACCTTAAACTTCGACCATTAATTTCAGCTGACTTACTCGCGTTGTCCTCGACTATGATGGCGCGTTTTGATTATCTAACGGTACAGTGAACGCGTTTCCTTCCAACCAGTAGACTCTTACCTGAAACACAAAGAAGTTACGGTTATGCTCCGCGAGCGGATTGATTTATTCACGGTATATGATTCGCAATTCTCCAATGGATGAAAGTGGATTTTTGTTTTTGCGAAGTATGCCAATGGAGCAAATCGTGTAGGTCAGCAAGAAAGTAAAGCCATGAATTCGCAAAGCACAAGTGAGAATAGTATGAGTTATTGTTTGATATAACAGCTGTTACAAATGCACACGTGTATATACACGTACATATTTTGTACATATGTACACTAGGAATTACCGATGCTTTCCCATATGAATTTAGGCACAGGTAAAACGCATACACATTTTCTATGTATTTTATGCAAAATGTATAAATGTATAAATATGAATTTATACATTTATATAAAATGTATAAATATAAATTTAGGCATATATTAGCACATTTTAACATTTTGCATATGCATAGAAAATGCGTACGTGCTCTATCTGTGCCTAAATTCTTATGGGAAGGCATCAGCGATTCCTAGTGTACATAAATGCATATTTCAAATTCATGGTTTTCATTTCAATCATATCGGAATTGAAATCAATGTGTCTCTTGTTATTAATTATATTTAATTAAAATCTTTTTATCCAATGTAGATTAACACTTATATCAGTGATAGCACTTTCACAAATTCTATCAACTACGGGAGAGAGAAACTTTACTTTTTTTAATATAACTTGTAAAAAGCATATATGATGAACAAGGATAATTAAAATAAAAGCGAGTAATTAAAAGAGAATTAAAATTGTCTCTAGCTTCTGAAATGGAAAAACCGAAAGAAGGAAACGTTATACGTTCAGACAGCGCCGCTTGTTCCCTTCTATTTTTAAACCGTAGAATGACCCTGAATATTCCATCTTCGTCTCGAATCAGTCTTATAAATTAAACATGAACTTTAAGAGACTCGGAGAAGTTTTCAAAGAAATATCGCAAGCGTCATTTATCAGGTGAATTAATTCTGAAATTGAATCTTTCAAAAATCGCAATCACATGAAAAGAAAAGGAATTATGCACTCAATAATACTATCGCTATCTGGTGAAAGCAAATATTTAGGTCATTCTGCGATTAAAAAGTCGAGATTAGAGAAGTTTACGACTCTTCCGGTTCACAAATAGCAATTTCAGGTGTAATCTTTCTCTTACTGAAGCGGCGATCTTATACGTTTCGCTATCACTCTTGAACTTGATCGAAGGAAAACCGGTTAACGAAAGGGAACGCGATGGTCAATTGGCACAGCTGGTCGTACAGAGTTGCGCGAAGGTCATTTTATCGCCGGCAAGATGGACGCTGAAGAGGGAGGGAGATAATCGATTCGATAAAGCTTGCTGACTGTGTTGAGGTTGCGAAGCGAATCATGCGAAATCTGTAGATTGTTAAATCTACCGTGCCGCGACTATCCGGATTACGATTACTACAAACATTATCCGGCGTTTGTAACATGATGCAACTCGTTCGAACGCTGGATATAGAGACGGTCGACCATTCTAAAATTTGGCACCCAATAATGTAGATGAATGCACTCGTATAAGATTAAATTTTCCTACGCTTGTATTTGCCCCATATTTAGATGTATGCGCATAAATTTCTGTCTAGATTGATATCAAACAATCAAACAACTTCTTTGTAAAACAAAAATTACAAAGCTCATTGTCCATTTATCTTTCTGGAGATGCAAGGAAGCTGCTTTCATTTGATAAAAAGTAGAAACGTGCCGAAGAAAAGGAATGTTTAAAATTATGCTGTGATAGTTTCGATTGCAAAATGTTCATATCGAACGTGTCGATAAAATAACCCTCCCTTTAATATATTATGGACGTTATTTTGATATTGTTGATAGCGTGTTTACGTTGAAAACGAAGATTAAGTGCCTTGTTTATAATGCATCGTAGTGCAAGTAATACATAAATAACAACAACGTAAACATTGTACATAGATGATATAAAATTAATTGTATTGAATTTTTGGCCGCATTAAGCTCTAGTGCAACCTCTGCCATTGAATCTGCTTGTACAGATTTACACATTTACATAAGGCCTGGTTCGTATCAACATATTTAGCTTCGAATCCAACCAACGTTACATTATTTGCACAGTTATAACAATTATGCTGTAATTTACATAACATGTTCACTCGTGTGTTACTGAGGGAACTTTTATCTTGTCTCCAATACATTTGCAAGTACACAACTCGCATCTGTTTGGTCAATACGAATAATCAATCTCTCGAACAGGTTAAAAACAGGTGAATAAAATATCTATGTTACGTGAATGCCACGTCCATACAATTTCATAACTTTATGGTTGAAACAATAGTATCTATTAATTTCTTATAAAAGAATTTGCAAAATTAGTACTAATTATGACTTCAGTTTGAAAAGTATTTTACAATCAATTTTACGATATTGACACTGTAGTAATTCAACCAATTTATTTATTAGGTTTTTACGTGGTAACTTCATTTTAGTATCAGGAAAAACTGTAAAATCGAACAAATAGTTTAAAAACTTATATAAATAATTTTTTCATCACAATTAATCTTACGTGTGTGTACATAAATACTTTTATATAAATTCAATAATTTATTTAAAAATATCAATTTAAAGTCGCGACAGTAATATACTCGAAAATTTAAGAACATTTATCATATTTTGTTACTTAGAGCACATGAAGTAAAAGCAATAATTTTTCACATGCATCACACCGGAAAGCAACAATAAACTTAAAGAGCATCGATATCGAGAAAGCAAAGTAAAAGCGCCAGTAGTTTGCATGAGAAATGCATTAAGGTCATTGCGCCTGTGAAATACTCGGAACCTCGTTACATACTGAAAAATGCGCCACCACATATAATCCCGTATTGTTGGAGACGTAGCCATTTCCTAACACCTACTGTTATCACGAGAACGAGGTAGTAATTAAAAGTGGCATACAGGAAACCACGAGAGAGAGAGAGAGAGAGAGCGCTAAAAGTTAATAGTTGTTCTAGTTAAAAAAAAGAAAACCAAGGATTGTAAAAATATACCTTTTTATATTACGTAAAATGATATTAGCTGTTTTTCAAGCTAATTGTTGCGTTCGTTACTTTTGAACAGCAAAATTCTTCACAGATCTTACATGACAAATATTTTCCAACCGTTGCCTCTATCGCGCATTAATTTTCCATTAACGCTAAGACTTCGTAAACAACGCTAAGGATGCGTGTCCCGACCGCAAATGTCGATAAACGTCGCCGGCAGGCTCGCTCGCACAAAACGAAAGTATAAAAAAAAGGACGTCTGCCGTAATTTCCACGCTCCTGCAGCAGAACGCGCTCTTAATTGCCGGCGCATCCGTAGTCGGACGTTTATTTTAAATTTCCGCCGCAATGAACCCGGCATAAAAAAAGAATGGAAAGGAAAAAGGAGGGAAGATGGTACAATGGCGGATTTCCCGAGCATGATCTCGGTGCAGTATGTTGCAAGGCATATGTAAAATATGAATAAGAAGCAAACATGCTCTCTCTCTCTCTCTCTCTCTCTCTCTCTCTCTCTCTCTCTCTCTCTCTCTCTCTCTCCCCCTCCCCCTCTTCTTTCTCCTTTCCATTAATCTCGACGAATTCTAAAATAAAGTATCCTAGTCTTCTGCGTGTCAAGCTTTGGAAATTAGAGGAAATAAATTTTAGATTCATCTACACACACCTATAAACAAGTAAGTAACGAAGTAACTTCCCATCCGTTTGCCATTACAACCTCAATAAATACTAAAGCTATTATGGAGTGTTATACATGGAATGCGAATGTAATAAAAAATAAATCAGTGCAATCAATCGCGTGCAGTATTAACAATACTGTCACAGCGTCACAGTCTATTCATAGTCTATTCATAGCACGAGTGAACAATAGCCGAGCAACTTTCCAGGACTGATATAAATTTTAGTGAAATCAATCAAAATAGATTCGGTATATCTGTATTTTTTAGACAAAGAGAGAGACAGAGGGAGAGGAAGAGGCATCTTTTCATTAATCTTTTATTAATCATTAGCCAATCATAACGTGTTTTGTCCTGCTGCATCCTTTATCACGTTTCATAAATTAGTGGAGCAGAATGAATTCTAATTAATATTTTTTTAAACAGATTAGTTATATAAATATTTTATATAAATATCTGTTATATAATATGTTATATAAATATATATACATATTGTTCCGCTAACTTAATCTTCCTTTAGTAGAACATCATCTCTTAAAAAACTTTACAGAGTAACAAATACTTTTCTCTGTAACTTTGCAGCAATAAATGAGCAACAAATAACAATATTAATTACAATTGTTTCTGCTCATTTTGTTCCCGTTAATTCCGAATAATTTATGCGATATCCTTTTATCCCGTTAGAAAATTTGACAAACAGCATACATTTCTTTTCAGATAGCGATACACGTCAATGAAGTTTTACAGTAAAAAGTAAGCCAAGGCATTTTATGGAGATGGAGTTAGGTCGATAACTAATTTATATATGTCGCAAATCTTCTAGTAGAAACGAAACGAGTTATCGGAGCTTTAATACATAGCCGTGTAGAAGTTTTGCAGTATGAAAGGGTTGAGTATTATTGTAACCACAAGCTTTCACTTGCGGCGCGATGTACTTTCCAACTTGTGCCCGAATCAACGTTAATCGTTCAAAATTATAGTCGGCGATACAATGATTCCATCGACAGGAAGGAAATCTTGAAAAAGCAAGTAGCGAATGCGCAACCACACGAGCTTATCCACGTGCGGTCTGGTTTCGCGACGAAATGCTTGCGGTGCAGCGATGCGACGACGCTGCAACGGGAAACTGGGTCACATCTCGTTTCCCACGACAGTTTGTCGTGGTGTGTGTGCTTTTCTGAATCCATATTAAATGCTTTATGCACCGACATACGCAGTCATGATGATAATTAATCTTGCAATTCGCAGAATGTAAAAAATGTCAACTTTATTAATTTGCGACGTTTTATCGCAA